AAGAACACGTAGTAACAAAATAATAATGAAATGAAATATATTGTACAGCATACGTAGGGCCACTGGGAGAATCCACCACATCATCTTTTCCTTTTCTCCACCATAGATTTTTTATTTGATTCCTAAAACCTTTCCTTGTTGCAGCAACCTGAAAACCAGAGAGTCAGACATAATCTAATTAATTACACATATACCAATTGTACACTAGAAAGTAAAATACTCACAGAACTAAAGGTAATATTGTCGAGTTACATACCTGCTGATTAAGCGCACGTATTTTTTGCTCCATGTAGGGAATAATGTGTTTAGTTGATAAATCTTGCATAAGATCCCTTATCTGTCCCAGTTTGTACAAATTGGATATCATGGTCAAAATTCTGACGTAAGCAAAACATTTGAATTATCAACCTAGCATAGGATTATAAGAAAATTAGATAATGAGCAACAAAAAGTACTTTACCTCATTAAAATCGTTAATATTAAGGAAGCAGCGAAGCGGTTGACTAGGTAAATCTTCAAATTTCTGTCAATAACACACACAAGCATAGAGGCTCAGCTATAATGCATCTAATTACTTTGTACAATAATACCATCAGACAATCTACCTACGGAAAAGCAAAGCAGAACAAGGTAAAAACAGAGTACTTCAGAATAGCTTACATAAAGCACCCAGGGATAATCTTGATGTTCAACCACACCATCTTGAGAAGAATTAATGCATAGTAATTGACAGTCAGAGCCAAAAGTGCTCCTCATTTCAGTTAAAATTTTAGTTGCCCTGCAAAAATAATAAGACTTAACAATATCAATTTTCCATTGTTGTCACCCTTGATTATCGAAAGTTACTATTTCTCTTAGAGAGCTCATCCAACAGAAAAGTTACAAGATTGTTTGAAAAGAAAATAAGAGAAGAAACAAGTAGAAGGAAAGAGAAACAAAATGTCCAACAACAAAAAGCCCACAATCAATATAATACTTCCCTCTCCCCTCTTTCCAACACCAAATCTAGAGAGGAACTCAAGAGACCTCACTCTGATTTTTTATTTATGTTTATAAGATAGGACTCTATTGTTTCTTATCATTCCATCCAATGAGTTCACAAAATTTCCAAACATGACATAACCACAAAGTTCAAGCTTTCATTTGAAGTAACTCCAAAATGATACTCCCCGAATAAGGAGTAGCAATCTCTTGACAGCGCATCACAATACTAAACACCTAAAGAAACTTCCTCCAAATATGAGTGATAAAAGGACAATGCAGGAAGCAATGACTAATACAATTTGCATCTATAAAGCAAAACAGGCACCAATGAGGTGGTCTTCTTTTTTGGACTATGATGTACACCCCAGAGTATCTAGCAAGGATTAGAAAAAAAAAAAAAAAGATTTAGATGAAAAACACCAAGCACATTTTAACTCCATATGAAGCAAAGGGAACTGAAGATCAAGAACACTCACAATTCTCCGACATTCATGTAACACCTAAAAGTCAAGAGCCAATAAACAGATGTAGAGGGAACTGAAGAGGCAAACAAGCAACTGAAGAGAAAGCAGCATACTGATTTAATGACACCGATTATTAATGAGGGAAGAAGACTCCCAAGACAAACTTCTACCAAGATCTACTCCTATTCCATCCCCCCAATTTTACTTTGCTACCTCAATGGTGCATCTTAAGCAAATCTGCCTCTGAATCAACCGACCACCTTTTTTCATTGTCCTGTGACATTGAGTTTATGGCTGATGTTGTTCAGGGAGAAGGTATCTCTTGGGTAATACCAAAGAATTGTCTTTCCTCATCAAAGCCGGGGTATTGTTTGTCTGTATGTTTCATGCTGTGGTTTAGGTTGTTTGGATGCAGAGAAATGAAAGGATCTTCAAGGATTATGGGGAGCAAATAAATTTCAGTTTCTATCAGTCTAATGGTCTTCTGTTTCTAATGAGTTCACACTGGAATATCAGTTTCCTTCCTTTGTCTAGATTGGAAGGCAGCTATTTGCTAGTCTGGCTGTTTTTGGCTCTAGGCTGTTGTTTGTTTTTGTTTGCTTGGGTTTGTGGTCTTTCTTGTGGTAGGAGTGTTCAGGCTGGTATGTTAGACCACCCTCTCCGTTTGCTTCTTTTGTTAATGAAATTGATCATTATTAAAAAAAAAAGTTTCAAATCTTCATCCTTTCCTGTAGAAAATCTCTAGGATTTTGTTCGCTCTTTGGGAGTCTAAATATAGACATGAAATTAGTAGGAATAGTACTTAAGACTGACTGCATGAGCATGAGTTATAACCTCTAGGCAAACAAGGACATTCCCAGAATTTTACAATTCATAATCCCCGAATTTCAGAAAGCACGGATTACACCCCGAAGGGTGCCTAAGATAAATCAAGGCCACCCACCAGCTTCGCAACTCATACCCAAATCAGGGACACCCTTATCTGAACATTGATATCCACCATAACACTCTTGAACACCTTGATTATGAAGCTCAATAATCCTAATATAGTTTATAAGAGAACTAAGAAGACTATTTGGATTATCAATGTTAGCTTACCTTGTTTCAACTCCATGTACCTTGATGGTATGAAAATAGCCCTTAGTTCCTTACCTCCCTATATTTACTAAATTCAGTCAAATGTGTACACAAATTAATTTGCTAAGTTCTGAGACTGCTGACCAATAGCTATAAAAGTTTTATGGCCATGCAGATTCTTCATTCACTTTCTAACATGATTAGAAGACCAGAAAGGTACGTACTTCTCTAAAGGTCCATCTTGATTATCATGCACTAGTAAATAATGCTTCAAAATCCTTGGGTCCATTGCCCCATTAGTAAGAAGGGAGGGCAACTTGGTCGAGTTAAAGAGGTCATCAAATCTGTTGATGGGCTGATCATCCTTTGAAGAAACTACAACGAGACCTGCAAGTAAAATCAACAAGATAGTTACATCAGACCACCAATTAATACCACAAAAAGAAAAAGTAGCATTTTGAGAACTACGATTCTCTGACTGATAGCGTGGACCAGACTTTTTGAGCTTTGTCATTAAATTGTAACTAGATAGGCAAAAGATAGGTACTTTACAAGTTTCAAAGGTACTTTATAAGTTTCAACATCTTACATGCCACAGGATGATCAAAAGCTTCGTGGTCTGAAAAAGACACCGTATGCACAAGCTCTTTATTGAAAAACTGAAACCATGATGGTTGAACTTCAGATTCCGATACTGCAAAGGAAAGCCATAATCAATGTTAAAAATGCAGATCTGGGTAAAAATAAGCATTCATTTCAATTTCAATTGTACAACACAGGTGCACAGAATAGCCTATGAAAGATAATTGCTCAATCAATTTCACAAAATCTAAAATTAAGAATAACAGAAAATAGTTAGCCACAGCACAACTCCCTTGAGAGCAGAATAGCCTATACGAGGAATAATACTTACTGGATAATGCATTATCAATTTGAGGCAGGTCCGAGCACAATTCAGAAAGATCTTTCTCCGCAGCCTGGGTTATGACTTGTTTCAACCTCTCTTTTGCTACCTAGGTGAAGTTAAACAATATATCTCAGGCTCAGACAGTTGAGAATCCGAGAGGATATTAACCTTAACTATAAAACTACATATACAAAACAGACATAATATTCAAACCCAAAAGGGCCAAAACCCACCTAAACTTCAATACGATACTTCTTCTCATTTTTTTCTCCCTTTGCTACTGAGAACATACCACGATGGAAAGCAGCACAGTGTACATAAGAGTTTGAACCAGCCAACGAGGAACATTTAACATTTAACAAGTTGGACTTGTAATTGTTTCAACTTGAGCTTAAGTTTCTTCTTAATGCTTACTCTGTCTACTCAATATCTAACAAGTATAGTCCTTTTTCCCTTTTCCCCTTCCCATCTCTCGGTTAATGTCCGTGCTTTCAAAAATCAAGTCAAATGTTTATATGTGCCAGCCTAGTAGCCTACCAATATCAACTAGTCAAATTAGCAGCCAAGAAAACTTGAGTTCAACTAACTCCAATTTATTTAATTCGCACATTTTCACAGCAACAAAACAGCACAATCGAAAAATTACCTCTAAGTTTGGTTGCCGAATATCCGACTCATAAAACAACCGCAACCCGAACTTCTGAAGCCTGTAGGGTTGATCACTCGCAGTCCGCACCGGCACTGAACCGAAACCGAAACACAAAAATCTCAATTTCCACCCAAATTCCACCATCAGAAAACCCTAACACACACATAAATAGGTGCATAAATTAGTAGAGAAGTGAGAAATAAGAGCGTGGCGTTCACCGTCGATGTTGTTGAAGACGCAGAAGGGCTTGAGCATTTGAACAAAGGTGAGGCCGTTCTTGAGGCAAGCTTCTTCGACGAGGGGCGTACGGAGGACCATGACGACGGGAGTGATCTCCTCCAATAACATTCTGCCAAGTGGAGTATTCGCCGGATCAACCATTTCTCTGGAAATGCGCGGTGAAATTGGCGACGGCGACTCGGAGTAAATGACGGGACTGAGTCACTCACCGGGTCGATGCTGGTCGGGTGAGTCAGGCGGGGGCTGGGCTCTCTCAGATCCCGGGCGTCAATGAAAGATCAGAGAACGAGCGATTCTGGCGAATGAAATCTGCGTAGAGAACTCAGAGAAGAGCTTCTACGACTTGGTTTTTGTTTTTGTTTTCGTTTGTTGTCCGGTATTCGGGTCGGGTAATTATTTGGGCTTATCGGGTTTGTCGGTGGGAAGCCCAATTACATCACTTGGACGCGTGCCCGTTCTCAGCAGCGCGCACAAACATATCTGAAGTGGGAAGTGCGGTCCGTGTGTTCGTTATAAATGTCAGTGCGCTTCCTCCTTGGCGCAACAACAAGCTGCCCGCTTCCCCGACACCTCCTCGCCGCGCCCAAAATCTTCGCGTTTCGCCCTAGGATCTCGACACTCGCCATGTCCGGACGCACCAACTTCCAAGGCGGTCGCCGAGGCGGCCCTAACTCTGGCGGAGGCCGCCGCGGTCGCGGTGGCGGCGGCAGAGGTGGAGGCGGTCGTGGGGAGGTGGAGGTGGAGGCGGCCGCGGCGGAGAACAGCGTTGGTGGGACCCGGTATGGCGCGCAGAGCGACTGAGGCAGCAGGCTGTCCAGGTAGGCAGTGCGTTAGATTATGTGTTTTGCTTTGGTTAATTGAAATTTGAAGAGTTTAGAGTATCTGTGGTAAATTAAGGAGTTGTTTGGTACACACTTAACTCATTGGCTTCGAAAACAAACAAAAATTGGATATAATATGGGTACCAAACAGGCCCTAATGATAATGGATATGATATGGATAGCAGATAGAAGTTCTTGATATGGGTTGTTTGGTATTCTATTTGAAACGAATTTATAGTTTTCGAAAATGATGAATGTAGCTAAATCACCTTGACTTGTTGGTTTCGGAAACAAAAAAGTTGGATTCTAGTGGATAACGAACAGCCTGTAGATGTAATGAATATGATATGCTTGGCAGATGGAAGTGCTTGATGAGACGGAATGGTGGGGAAAGATGGAGGAGATGAAGAACGGAGCGGAGCAGGAGATGGTAATTAAGCGTAATTTTAGCCGGAATGATCAGCAAATTCTATATGACATGGCTTATCAACTGGGGCTTTACTTGTAAGTAGCCTCACTAAGACATTATTTCGTACATTTGGTGTGCAATGCATAGTCCTCTTATTTATATTTTGGGTAAAAGCAAAGCTGCTTATTAGTCTTACAATATCATTTTTTGCATGTTTTTTTATGCTTGGGGAAGGAAAGCCATGCATACAATAAAGGGAAGGCTTTGGTGGTCAGCAAAGTTCCATTGCCGGACTACCGGGCAGATCTTGATGAGCGCCATGGTTCCACACAGAAAGAGGTACGACATTACTTAATGATATTTGGTACAATGCTTCAAATTTGTGCCGGAGTATTCATTTTGTGTTTTGTACAGATTAAAATGTCTACAGAGACTGCCAATAGAGTTGGGAGTCTTTTGCACAGCTCGCCGTCACAGGGGGAAATATCTGTCAATGGGCCTTCTGGGTCAGGGCAGGGAAACAGACAAACTTCAGCTAGCGTAATTACGAGTAAACCTGTTGCCCAGTTAGAGCCTGATAATGTTAATGAGAAAGAGAAACTCAGCCTTCAACTTAAGGAGAAACAGGAAAAAATGAAGGTACATACATGCATATCATACTTCTTGTTTCGTTTAATGGGTTTTGTTGGGAGATTTATCGGTGCTATTGGTTACTTATGAGCAGGTGAGCAATAGTTTAAAAGCAATGCAATCGTTTCGAGAAAAGCTTCCTGCTTTCAAAATGAAATCCGAGTTTCTGAAAGCTGTTTCAGAAAATCAGGTGCAATATTTTGCCCACTTTCATTTAAAATTGTCCTTTTTATCCAGAACCTATGCAAACTCTTGTATGAATTGCTATTTACGATGTTTATTATAGTCTAAATGGAAAAAAAAATGGTTTGAACATCTTCTGCACAGAGAGAGAGAGAGAGAGAGAGAGAGAGAGAACCTAATTGGGACACTCTGTGAGTTGCATCAGATGAAATTCATTGGTCAGTGTATTTGTAAATATACCACACCATTTCGAGATAGCTCGGTATGGCTCACGAGGCATATTGCAATTTTGCAATGAATCCCCAGATGTGTGTACAGCTTACTTTTTGTAAATTTTAGGTTACACTTGTCAACCTTCCACGATAATTTGGCATAAAGATACACATTTATTTAGGTCAAAATTTGAAAAGTATTTCTTAGGTGTTTGCTAGGAAGAATAAAGGATGAAGGTGGAATATATCAACAGTATTGACTAGGTGTTCATCATTTTAGTTGATCTTGATCTAGTGGTCTATATTGATCTGATGACTAGATACTTTTTACAAATCTGTTCAGGAATAGAGGTTCTGTTAACTGTTTACCATATAACTGATCCTTTTTTCCAAGATGCCACCAATTTGCTTACACTTCTTAAATTTGTTTACAATCCAGGTCTTGGTAGTCTCTGGGGAGACAGGTTGCGGAAAAACAACGCAGCTTCCACAATTTATTCTAGAAAATGAGATCTCACGTCTGCATGGTGCTGACTGCAACATAATATGCACACAACCTCGTCGTATTTCTGCTGTATCTGTTGCAGCTCGTATATCCTCTGAAAGGGGAGAGAATCTTGGTGAAACTGTTGGTTATCAGATCCGTCTTGAATCAAAGCGCTCTGCTCAAACACGACTGTTATTTTGCACCACTGGAGTGTTACTTCGACAGTTGGTAATATGTTTTCTCTGTTATGTTTCCAACAATTGGTTTAGACTGGTATCCTGGTTAGTCCTTGTTTTCTTCCCTAGCTAGCCTTCAACAACGTATTAATATGTTTTTCTTTTAACTTCTTGACTTGGATGTTGCTTGATGTGTAGCTTGATTCAGTCCTTAGGTTTATGTTTGTTCTGAGACCTTGAGATAAATAATTGTTTAGATCTCCCCTGGGAAAACAAGTTGTTTTTGTTTATTCACGAGTTATAATTTTGTGCATCCTAGCACTCAGAAAAGTAATGTTAAAGTGTATAATTATACTTCGCAAAACAATGGTGAGTGTTGGAACATTTGTTAGTCCATGTTTTGGAAACCTCCTCCCGTTTATTTTCTGTAAAAGCTAAACCCTATCATCTAGGGAATATTTTTCGAGTTTTCAAATTAGTTCTAATGATATTGGTAGTGGTAACAACTTTGTAACATTTAATACATTCTAAGTTACCTTAATATACTCTTTAAGTCAGTGCTATATCATTGATGGTAATATGCTTGTATTCCAATGGCACCATTATACATGGAATCTTTCTAATCCATTTAATCCATTTAATTAATACTATCCGCGACAACTCTCTTGTATTTGATGTTGACCTACAGGTTCAAGACCCAGAATTAACGGGCGTGAGCCACTTGCTGGTTGATGAAATTCATGAAAGAGGCATGAATGAGGACTTTTTACTCATAATCTTGCGTGACCTTCTTCCTCGGCGTCCAGATCTACGATTAATTCTAATGAGTGCTACCATCAATGCTGACTTGTTCTCCAGATACTTTGGAAATTCCCCAACAATACATATACCAGTATAATTTTCTTCTTTTTCTTTTGATTTACTTGAATCTTTTGAGTTCAAATTTAACATACATGTTTAAATGTTATTGTTGTTGACAAATGGCAGGGATTAACTTTTCCTGTGGCAGAGTTATTTCTGGAAGATATTCTGGAGAAAACTCGTTACGCTGTCAAGTCAGAGTTTGACAACTTTGAGGGGGGGAATTCCAGGAGAAGGAGACAGCAAGATTCCAAGAAAGATCCTTTAACTGAATTATTTGAGGCAATCCAGCATTCCCTTATTATTCTCAATGTCCTCGTTGAAATCTACCTAATTATCTTCTAGTACACATTTTTAATACTTGTACATGTTTAGAGAAATGATACAGCTCTTGGTTCATTAAAATATTTGATGGCATAGACTTATAATCAAAAGAATGTCTGTGTTTATAATTTTTAGCTTGAGCATTTCCTATATTGTTTGTGTTAAGTATTTATGAGGATAATGCTTTGGACATGCAGGATGCCGATATTGATGTTCAGTTCAAAAATTATAGCACAGCTACAAGAAAGTCTCTTGAAGCTTGGTCTGGTTCACAGCTTGATTTGGGGCTGGTAAATCACTTACTTTAGCCCCAGCATTGCTTTGAAGAATGTGTTGCATCTCACTCTCTAATGAGCATATGCTGTCATGCTGAAGGAAGTTTTTCTATGTAGAAAATGAATTCTTGTCCTTTATTAAAAATGGATAAAACAAATTTGCATTCAAATCATCATAACTTTTGTAGGTGGAGGCGACAATTGAACATATATGTCGCAATGAGAGAGATGGAGCAATTCTTGTATTCCTTACGGGCTGGGATGACATATCAAAGTTACTTGACAAAATTAAGGGAAATAGATTCCTTGGAGATCCCACAAAATATATGGTTCTTCCCCTGCATGGGTCAATGCCTACCGTCAATCAACGAGAGATATTTGATCGTCCTCCCCCTAATAAAAGGCAAGCATGTAGTGTTGAAAGAATTTGAAGTTCTATTCTGTTTAGGCATTGAGATTCATCATTTGATCTTATCTTCTATATTTCATGTTTTATCTCCATGTCCTTTGGATCATATGCTCTCGTCTATACGATTAAAAATCATTATGCTTAGTGTTTTCTTCAGTTGAATCAATTGTTTGAACTGATTGAAAATGAAATATGTGCTTTTGTTGTGAGCTAACTTGTTGGTAATCAAAATTACCCTGCATGATCCATATTGTTATATTTTATTAAGACCTCCTTAATCTTGTTTACTTCACCTGTTTTCCAAATATTAAATTTCCTTGTATTTATGTTTTCAGAAAAATTGTGCTAGCAACAAACATAGCCGAGAGTAGTATCACCATAGATGACGTTGTGTATGTCATAGACTGCGGAAAGGCAAAGGAAACCAGTTATGATGCTTTAAACAAGTTGGCTTGTCTATTACCATCATGGATTTCAAAGGCTTCAGCACATCAGGTATAATTTACTAGCAGAAGTAAGAGAATATGAGGCTTTGCCTGTATTTTGGACTCGCTGAGACCAAGCTGGAACCATTTTTTGTTTGGTAAAATGAGCATTAATTTTATTGCTTTGGTGCAATGATTTCAGAGGCGAGGGCGTGCTGGCCGTGTGCAACCTGGAGTTTGTTACAGACTATATCCGAAAATGATCCATGATGCAATGCTCCAATATCAATTACCTGAAATCCTCCGGACGCCGTTGCAAGAGCTATGCCTCCACATCAAAAGTTTGCAACTTGGAGCTGTTGGGTCATTTTTGGCAAAGGCACTTCAGCCACCAGATTCTCTTGCAGTTCAAAATGCAATTGAACTTCTCAAAACCATTGGAGCTTTAGATGACACAGAGGAGCTTACCCCGCTTGGTATGTATCACTTTATGCAACTTATGTCTCTACTGAATATGTGCTCAGGTAGTTGACCAAATATCTTACGTAACAGGTCGCCATCTTTGCACGCTACCATTGGATCCAAACATTGGGAAGATGCTTTTAATGGGTTCTATATTTCAATGCCTCAATCCTGCTTTAACAATTGCAGCTGCTCTTGCTCATCGTGACCCATTTATACTACCAATAAATAGGAAAGAGGATGCTGATGCTGCAAAGAGGTCCTTTGCGGGTGATTCTTTCAGGTACAGCTCATTAAACTGAGGCATATTGCTGAGTGTTACAAGGTTGAGCTTGTTCTCTATATTATTGTATCTGTTTATTTATTTTCTTGCAGTGATCACATAGCTCTTGTGAAAGCTTTTGAAGGATGGAAAGATGCAAAACAAAATGGAGCGGGAGCAGGAAAGTCGTTCTGCTGGGAGAACTTTTTATCCCCTGTAACATTGCAGATGATGGAAGATATGAGGATCCAGTTTCTTGATCTATTATCAAATATTGGCTTTCTTGACAAATCCAGGGGTGCTAATGTAAGCTCCTTTAAGGGCTTGTTTGTTAATCGTTTTATGTTCTGTTTACTTGCTGCTTTTTTTTCCTAATTACAAGACAATATGGAACAAATTTTACATAAAAATTGAAAAGTTTAAAATTGATTTTCAGTTTTCAGCGTCTAACTTTTAGTTCACTTGGATGATGTGCAATAACTAAATATAACATGTGCGTGCGTGCAGGCTTACAATCAATACAGCCATGACTTGGAGATGGTGTGTGCGGTCCTGTGTGCTGGGCTCTATCCGAATGTCGTTCAGTGTAAAAGAAGAGGAAAGCGGACAGCATTCTATACTAAAGAAGTTGGTAAAGTTGATATCCATCCTGCATCAGTCAATGCTGGGGTTCATTTATTCCCTCTCCCTTACATGGTTTATAGTGAAAAAGTGAAGACAACCAGCATTTACATCCGAGACTCTACGAATTTATCAGATTATGCTCTACTTCTATTTGGTGGTAGTCTTATCCCGAGCAAGACCGGGGAGGGCATTGAGATGCTTGGAGGTTACCTTCATTTCTCCGCATCAAAGAGTGTTCTAGAATTGATTCGGGTAATGCCTCTCGAGATCTTATGTTAAATCCATCACCTCTAGAGGACAGCAGTTGCTCCTACACTATTTTATTTGGATAGTGAAAACAATGTTCTGAATATTTGTCTTTCGTTATGGCTTTTTGCAGAAACTGCGTGGTGAACTCGACAAGCTTTTGAACAGCAAGATTGACAACCCAGGATTGGACATCTCCAGCGAGGGAAAGGCAGTTGTGTCTGCTGTGGTAGAGTTGCTGCATAGTCAGAATATACAATATTGAAAACTTTGTTCCTTTCGGACTGTCACGGTTTTGGTAAAATTTTTGCAGTAAAATTTTGTCTCCCATTATGTAATGCAGATGTAATTTGTTTCGTTTTCCATTTGAATGCGCAGCTTAATTTCTTGTGATGTCTTTCTTGTATGACGAGTCTTTAGAAAAAAGTGGCTACGAAGTAATCGTTTACCATCATGTGGGCATCATAGCTTTTTCATCAATGAATATTGTTAAAACTAAACTTCGAAACAAGATAGAAGATTACTTTCTTGCTGATTGTATAATTCTCCATATGAAAGAAATTTTTTGATGATATTGATTCAGATTCATTAATCGACAGAAGGAATGTATATGAGACACAAGATGAATAAAGAAACATGGTGCAAGGATAATGTATAAAACAAAAATTGATAATGGAAATGACTTATGATTGTTTTTCATTCTTTGGTTTTAATAAGGTTTTAAAAGACGCTAATTACTAGTTGGGCGGTGGACTAGAGCCTAGTGCATAGGCAGGTAGACGGAGCCTAGTGCCTAGGCGAAGATTTTTAGAATAGTGATTTTAATTTTCATGTTGTATACAATTCCATATATACTTTTCCACATTTCTCTGATCAACTCTTCTTTTATTCATTCTCTATTCCGCGTATATTTTCCTCTATATTTTTATTCAAAATTAGAACGAAAAACAAATTAACTATCAAATAGTACTGGATTGTACTAGGGAAAGACATTTATTGCTTCATATGGATCGCACTTTAGCTCTTAAGGATGATGGAACTTAAGTATTAAAGGTAGGGTTTCGAAGCCTTAAAGATTAGTCTAAATGGTGAGGACGAGTGAAATAATGAGTTAGGATTAATATATGTTTAAAGTTAAAATTTATGTTTGTAGTTTATATTTCTCTAATTAGAAGGCCAGAAACATACTTTGGTGTCTTAAGGCTTCACAAAAAAAAAAAAAATATTGGATTGAAAAGCCCCTTAAACAAAAAAAATTAGAAATGACCGAATTTGATGCATGAAAACACGCAAGGGCAATTTTATAAAAAAAAAAAACATAAATCTGAAATTCGTTTTATATTTCTCTAATTAGAAGGTTAGAAGCACACTTAGGTGTCTCAAGGCTTCACAAAAAAAAATAAAAAAAAGGGGATTGAAAAGCCCCTTAAACAAAAAAAATTAGAACTGACCGAATTTGATACATAAAAACACGCAAGGGCAATTTTGTAAAAAAAAACATAAATCTAAAAATCCGTTTTATTAGAAGTAAAAAAAAAGAAAAAAAATTAAAAAGGGGAAAAATGTGATGGACTAAAGACGCTAACTAATAGTCGGGCGGCAGATTATAGCTTAACGCATAGGCAGTTAGACAGGTCCTAACGCCTAAGCGATAATTTTTAGAACAGTAGTTTTAATTTTCATGCTGTATACAATTCCATATATACTTTTCCACATTTCTTCGATTATCTACTCTTCTTTTATTCATTCTCTATTATGCGTATATTTTCCTTTATATTTTTATTCAAAATTAGAACAAAAATCAAATTAACCATCAAATAGTACTAGACTAGATTGTACTAGGGAAAGACATTTATTGCTTCATATGGATCGCACTTTAGCTCTTAAGGATGATGGAACTTAAGTATTAAAGGTAGGGTTTCGAAGCCTTAAAGATTAGTCTAAATGGTGAGGATGGGTGAAATAATGAGGTAGGATTAATATATGTTTATAGTTTAAATTTATCTAATTAGAAAGGTAGAAGCACACTTTGGTGTCTCAAGGCTTCACAAAAAAAAAAAATGGATTGAAAAGCCCCTTAAACAAAAAAAATTAGACCTGACCAAATTTGATACATGAAAACACACAAGGGCAAATTTGTCAAAAAAAACATAAATCTAAAATTTCTTTTATTAGAAGAAAAAAAAATTAAAAAGGGGAAGACGTGCTGGACTAAAGAGATATTAGGACATCTCCAACCGACTTGGCCAAAGGGCTATAGGGCTAAAAATAGCTCAAAATGACACGAAAATCGTTTCCAACCAAGGGCTAGGCCAATGGGCTTGTTGGCCCCATGAGGCCAAAAACTTGAAATCAAGCTAACCGGCTGGCCTATTCCAGCCAACCCCGGGCGGCCCAAAGTTTGAATTGCAATAGCTACATGGCTTTAGTATGACGCTAGCTGGCAACGACTAGATGACATCATGTTGATGCCAGGTTACCGTTGCATTTGAATTTTTTTCAAACAAAATTTAAAAAAAAATTCTAATTTTTTTTCCCTATAAATACCTAAGTCATTCCTACACCATTTCTCACATAATTTTCACCATTCCATACTATCTTTAAATTATATGAGAATTATGAAGATGATGATTATAGTCTTTAAATTGAAGTTGTTGTTGTCTTTAATATTGAAGTTGTAGTTTTTAAATTGAAGTTGTAGTTTTTAAATTGAAGTTGCAGTTTGATAAATTCTTCCACAAATTTCATTTCAATTCAGAATTAGAGAGGCGTGCACAGAGTTTCCATCTTACGAAATTCCCAATTACTTCTCAACCAGGTTCGCTACATATTATCTTATTACACAAATATTTTTTTTAATAGCAAATTGTTTCTCCGTTCATTGCAGAAATAAAGGAGAAGAGAATGAGGGCGAGGGAGAGGATGAAACAGGGAGACAAATTGACAAAGAGTCTTATATGTAAAGAGTCAAACAATGTTTTTTTAAACGCCCAAATTTGGTCATGTAATCTAAATGAACTGAAAAAGGACCCACTCATGTAATAGATAGTGTTCTAAAAATCAACCTAGACGGCACCTAGGCGCTAGGCGGTGGAGTGCCGCTCGGATTTAGTCTAAATCGCCAATGAAAGTAGAACATCTTATTGGGCGACTTTTGGACGGATCTATGCAGGATTAGGCAGAGTTAGGTGAAGTTGGTCAAAGCTGGTCGGGGCTAGGCGAAGATAACTGGCTTATGTGCAGAACGAAATCTGGAAAAAGAAGTTTCAGAGCACTGGAGACTCGCGAAGAAGATGAAGTCTGTTTGAAACTTACCCGACGTCGTTTAGGTTTAAATAAAACTTTATGACTTTTCAATTGTTTAGCTTTTTTACGGAAATGGATCATCTCCGGATCCCTTTCCACCTAATCTACCTAGTCCAGGATCCGAACCATTGAAATTTGATAAAACAGCTACAATTATTATCACTTTAAAAGGACCCCTGTTTGTAGCAGTTGGATCAAATTTCAATGCTCCGGATCCCATATTAAGTGGATTTGTGACATCCCACATCGCCCAGGGGAGTGATCCTTATATGTATATTCTCATCTCTACCTAGCACTAGGCCTTTTGGGAGCTCACTGGCTTCGGGTTCCGTTGGAACTCCGAAGTTAAGCGAGAATGAGGCTTGAGCAATCTCATGATGGGTGACCCACTGGGAAGTTGCTTGTGAGTTCCAAAAACAAAACCGTGAGGGCGTGGTCGGGCCCCAAAGCGGACAATATCGTGCTACGGTGGTGGAGCGGGCCCGGGAAGTGATCCATCCCGGGCCAGGATGTGACAGGATTAAGTGGAAAGGGATCCAGAGATGATCCCTTTCCCTTTTTCACCTCTCTAACCGGACCCACCATCTTCTTGTTTTGCTACCATTTCGCCTCCATTCGTTTTATTTTATTTTTTCTCTTACCCCACATATTCCGTTTTGCAGATTTTGACTATTATTCTTTAATTTTTCTAACTATTTATTTGTGCCCACGTATTTAAGACCCACCATATTTTATGATTCTTCTTTTTATTTTTTGGTTTAAGGCTCCACCATATTTTGCATGTGCTAAAATATTTACTTTAACCTCACACATAAGAATTAACCTAAAACCCTCACCTTACATATACTTTTCTTTTGAAAAAAAATAGCCTATTATTTATTTTTTATTTGTATATCAATAGTAAATTAAATCAACTTATAATAAATATAATCAATTTATAATATTAAAATAAATTTATTCAAATCTGCCTAGGCACCCGTCTAGACCCCTCTTAGGCGCTAGGCCACAGCCAGTCGCTCAACTAGCATCTAACATCTTTTAAAGGATCACGGGCCATGACTTCATCCCCAAGATCAAAGAATTAAGAGGCCCAAACCAAGAGGAATGAAGATCTTACCTTTTTGGGAACCAATTTAAAGAAGTTCTTAAGTCTTGTAATAGATTTAAAAGGATCATGGGCCATAACTTCGTCACCAAGATAAAAGGATTAAGAGGCCCAAACAAGAGAAATGAAGATCTTACCTTTTTTAGGAACCAATTTAAAGAAGTTTTTACATGTTTCAAACCCTAAAGTACGCAAATGTGGGTCACACCATTTTGGCCCTAGATAGTGCGCCTAATAAAAAAATGTATAGTAAAATCTCACAAGGTTTTGCCGTACAACTTAATACAAGTCTTGATTAAGAATGACGATGATCTACATTTCCTCCGATGTGCATGATTTTGTAGATAATCAAAATAATTTTGGGCCGTTGATAGAAATAAATATATGATTTTAAGCTGGACATGAAAGTCCAAAATCAATACCCAATCCAACGCATTTCACCATTCCCATTAGCGCGTGATTAAAAATTTGTTAACTCCCCAAAAAGACCTTTTACATAGGGCGTGAGCACGTACGAAGAAGTTAGTTTCTATTTAAACTAGCATTTGCCTACACACTTTGTATGTATGAACACATTTTTTAGAAAAGGAGAAGGAGAGAGGAGAGAGAGAGAGATAACGTGGGGGAGTAAGAGGTTTTTGTTTTTGTTTTTTTATTATTTATTTATTATTTTTAATATTAGAGCTATTTTAACATTACATATAGGTATAAAAAAAAGTAAAATTTGGACATGTGAAATTACATTATTGCCCATCATTTTTTTTTGTGTGATAGAAGACTAATTTATCTTTTCACCCTCTTTTAATTGACAAAGAAAGTTTTATTAATTAGTAGAGATTAATTAATTAAACCCCAAAACAATAATTAAAAAGTATTGAACAAAAATGATTAATTAAAATGATTTTTTCGAGCCAATACCTATTTTCTCTCTCTCATTCACGTCGGTGACACGTTGACAAACCTGAAACCCTCCTCCCCTCCTCCTCACATCAAAACCCCTACCTTTTGTTCCGGGGAAGAACCTCCAAAACCCTAGAAATTCA